ATGACAAAAAAGTCTAAACTGTTACATAAAAGTCATAATTATGTTGATACAAAGTCATTTCAACATTTATGTCATAATTATAGCTTAGTGTGTCATACTGTCATAATTTTGACTTTTTATGTCATAATTATGATTTACCAAAGCATGATTATTATTTTTTTCTTTCTATCCTCACATTATATCTGGGCTGATTTAAGATCAGATTCCTTTCCATCTAGAACTGTCTGTTTCTGGAATTACAGATCAGAAACGAAATGAAACCAGATTTGTTCTGCTGCTTATTTCAATGCTGTGCTTGTCGACAGGACTTTTCTTGAAGACTTTCTGCTACTTTACTCTGATCCAAGACCCAAAGACCTGGACCGAAGCCCAATCGTACTGCAAGACGTATCACACAGATCTGGCAACGATTCAAAGCGATGAAGACCGATATAAGATACAGGAGATCGCAATCTCCATGAAATTTCAACATAGGGCCTGGATGGGACTGTATGATGGTGTATTTGCTTGGCGCTGGTCTTATCGAGATCTGAACATAGACTATAAGAATTGGGCGCCAACAGAAGAAACGACCTCCAAGACTCAGAAAAGGTGTGGCGTGATTAGAAACACTGGAAGCTGGCATTTGCATTTGTAAGCATCGCTCACGTTCATGCGTTTGGCAGATACTTTTCTCCAAAGTGAGTTGCATTGCATTGGAGGTGAATATTTTATCAGTTCATGCATCATTCTCTACAGTTTGAGTTAATAGCAAACATGACTTCTGACTTGGAATTGTGAGAAAAAAAGTCAGAATTATGAGATATAAACTAGAATTGCGAGACAAAAGTCAGAATTTGGAGATATAAATTGAGAATTCTGAGAAAAAAAAAGGAAAATTCTGAGATATAAACTAGAATTCTGAGAGAGAGAAAAAGTCAGGATTTTGAGATATGATATAAATTGAGAATTCTGAGAGAAAAAAAATTATATTCTGAGAAATAAACGAGAATTCTGAGAGAAAAAAAATTATATTCTGAGAAATAAACTAGAATTCTGAGAGAGAGAAATAACTCAGAATTCTGATATATAAACTCAAAATTCAGAAAAAAAGTAATTTCTGCGAATTAAACTAGAATTGCAAGACAAAAGTCAGAATTCTGAGATATATATTAAGTATTCTGAGAAAAAAAATGTACAAATTCTGAGATATAAACTAAAATTCTGAGAAAAATGTCAAAATTCTGAGATATAAACTAGAATTCTGAGAAAAAAATCTGAGATATAAACTAGAATTCTACGAGAGAAAAAATCTCAGAATTCTGAGATATAAACTAAGAATTAACTAAGAACTATCTTTTTATTTGTTATCTCATGGCAGAATCAATCTTTCAGGCTAAAAAAAAAATCAATTTTGGTTTTCTGTGGAAATAAACTCATTTTGGTGCATTACTACTTCTGACACATTTGATATTAAACTTTTTCCTCATCCAAGTCTCAAAGGCTGACTGTCAGCATGCTGTTTGTATGAGCAGTTCAAACTGCATTCTTTGTTCTGACCACAACACTAAATCCTTACAGGAAATAGCCTTGGAAGCAAATTTGTTTTCAATAACGCCAAACTGACCTGGCGCGATGCTCAACTGCACTGCAGGAAAAACCACGTCGATCTGGCCTCCATTAGTGACGGCTTTGAGAACAGCGCTCTGGTTCAGCTTCTTACACACAACTACTCTCAGTATGAGGCCTGGATCGGCTTGTCCAAGAACCTGTGGCTGTGGTCGGACCAGAGCAAAGTCTCCTGGCCGTCTGTGACATGGGCCGAAGGAGAGCCGGATAATACAGATGGCAATGAAAAGTGCGGCTTTGTCCGTGAGACTGGGTTGATAGGAGACGAAGACTGCTTGCATCACTTACCTTTCTTCTGCAGTGAGTTTTATTTCTGCTTTAATTCTCAAGCAGCCAGTCCAGATAAACTGGAGTCAGTGACTGTACAGAAAATAAACAAAAAATCATCTGAAGTCGCAGTGATTTTCCAAATTTAACTTGAGATAATGCAGATATCCAAGTTGTTATTTAATGCAACTTCACATTTCAAGTTGACTAAACGTAAATTATAAGAACACTTTTTGAAACAACAGTGAATACTGTAGTATTCATAACAAATGCAAGATCCCTTCCAGGCCATTGTATTTCATAACACAACAAATTACTATAAAAAGTATGATAATTAATAGTGAGTTTAATTTTGACTTTAATCTTTAAAGAATCAGATCAGATAAACAGGATTTCAATCAATTACTGTAAAAAAAAAATTATATATATTCACAAACAGCTTTTCTATGAGCTGAGGGCAATATTTATATATAGAAGGTGCACAGAGTCATTCACACAAACACTAAACCCCAGCATGGTGACACTCATGATACTGAAATAATGCAATAAACATTGATTTAACAACATTAGATGTAAGATTAAACCCTAATGTACACAACATGTTTCTTCTTAGTTTTTGTCTTATCGGTTATTTCAACAACAACAACAAAAACATCAAATATGAAGTGTCATGCAGGGAATTCTGGGAGTGTCAATTTAAGGTTTTTCTTTTTCACTTCTAAAAACCTTATTTTTAACAGTATTTTACTGTAAAATTACATTAAATGTAATTACATTTATTCACCGAATATAGTATGGAAACTTACTGTTAACCAGTTAACAGGTTTTTACTGTAGCATTTTTACAGTCTTTTACTGTTAAAATCACAATCATTTTT